CCATCCCACCCCCTACACCTTTAGCTCCTTTCTTCCCATTTCTAAATGTCAGTAATCTTATTAAAATCTTATGCATTGTTGCAGATTATTTACACCAGGGAAACTATTGGTCACTTATTATTTTATAAGAGTAAGAATTATGCAGTAATTATGTGCTATCATTTACAAGTAAATATTATGCTAATATATGTGGTATTCAAATGTAAATATTGAAAACAATTTGTAACCCAAGCCACACATTTATTTCTATCGTTCTTATCATCATTATCGCTTTTTTTTTGCATCAAACATGCTAATTTCCATAATTACCTGCTGTTCATTGTATGTATGCAGCGTGAAGAGTGGCTTGTGAAGAATAAACTCTTCTTCCATATCAATACCCATCTTAGCTTTTGATGCTATTGTATCTGACATCATTCTAACAGGATCACATTGAGCAACAACAGCAACCTGAAAGAGAAGGCATGGCCACTTGGAACAAAGTAAAGACCACTTCTGGGCAATATTACAAATATTCCATGTCCGTGAAAATTAAGAAATTTTGTGAGAGATAAAACCCAAAAGGCAAAGACAGAAGAAATATTTATACCAGCCCAGTCATAGAGATCCACAAAGCAGTTAAAACATACATAAAACAAAATAGGAAAATATAATGCATGGAACAGGATTATTTGCTCATGATTAGTTACAATTGTGATTAATTTCATATAAAAATGTATCTTTCAGATTGAAGTTATAAGCAATTTACATATAAAACATACATATTCAGCCACCATGAAGGTAACATAAGGTAGGAAAAAATATTTTAAATTTCTTAGCTGTCCACAGCTAGGGAAACAACTCCAAGAAGCTTTCTAGAAAGCCTACTCTGAGTGAGCTGGATCTGGAGCATACTGTCATGCTAAATCAAGTGTGTAGCAGAATTGGGCCAAATGGGTGAGTTTCCATTGTACCAGACAACAAAGTTTCCAGAAATCACTATATGCCATTGTTCTCCTTCCACTGCAAACCCCCTAGAATCACTAGAGCCCCAATGTCCTTGTCCTGTGCAATGCAGACCTGTACCTCAATGAAAACAAGCCACTAATTTTGTAAATTACATGCACCATTAGTAACACCTGCTGGCAAATTTAAAAACTGAAGGCTTAGCTTTACTTTATGTAAATGGCGTTTTTCACGATAGAAACTGTAACAGAAACTGTAATGAAATAACTGGGGCTGACCATACTTTAATTATTATAGGTTTCCCAGCTAAAGTATTTTATACTGTAATTCTAAACACTGATTATAGATAATGGACTACAATATTTCTTCTTTCAAAGGGCACACAGATAGAAGGATTTCTAGTCATATGGTGTCTGTAGTTACCTCATTTATGTTTTGCATAAGAATGTGTTTAGCAACAGTGGCATTAAGTCTTGTCCCCAGAAGCTGTAGTATATATTTGCTAATGGTTGAATAATTTGAATTTTGTTGGAAATAGGACAGCCAGGACTTATTTTCCTGAATATATGTCCATAATTAATTTTACAGAAGAAGGTGTGATGTAAAGTTGAATGCATTTATATCACATCTATGGTACATATCTCACTATTTACTTCATTCATCCCATTTGATGTTTACTGACTATTGTGACTGCAAAAAGTAGCTCAGCCCTGTGGCTCCTCACTCTTCTGTAGAGTGAGCTTTCTAATACTACCTACATCCTAGGGTTTCTGTAGAGATTAAAACAAGTGGTGTCTAAGAGTACTTCACAAGGGGTTTTATACTTAGTGATCCTTGCAAATGTGAACTTGCATTACTACAAGCCTGTAAAGGAGGCACTATTATTATTTTCCCATTTTTCAAATGAGGAAATGGAGCTGACGGTGGCTCCTGACCTGGGTTCCAGGTTTGCAGGATACCAGAGGCTGATGCTATGTCACCTCACTGACACCAGGTGGGGAAGCCAGGTGGCATTTCCCGTGAGCTGGGAAATGGTGTCAATGAATATTTCAGAGCTTCAACTGATCACTATGAGTTCAAAGTTCAGGTCAGGGATTTAGTGCAGTGGATCCGTGCCTGCCTGCCAAGTGCGAGGGCCCAAGTTAGACCCCTGGTACCAAAAAAAAAAGTTCTGCAAAATTACTAAGCAAAACTGTTAATCACATTTCCAGAGTTCTCAAATTCCTGCTCTTGCTGTCTACTGTTTATATTTATCTAATTTTGCTTGCTTTTTTAGGCAAAGTAAGGGGAGGCTTTTATTTCTTCACAAAAAGGATACTTTGTAAAAAGTAGTTTTAAACATGTTTATTGACTGTGAAATATTTCCAAGCACGTGTTCCTACCCCAAAAAAGGTTATCTTGCCCTACCTCATTTTTTAAAGACAATAAAGTCCTTTGACTAGATGCAGGGTTTTACTGTGGCAAATATATAGCATTCATCTAATAAATGAGAAGTTATATGGATGCATTTAAATCTCGAGAAAGTTTTTAAAAGGTGCTGATAAAGTTCTTCTAATACACTGAGAAAGTAGAAATAGTTTGACATAAATCTAATTGCTCCCTAGAATAAAGATCTGTGTCCTAATTTGGAAAAGTAAAATTTTATATAGCAGATGTCATGAACCAAGCCCTAGTAACAATGCTGTTAAGAGCACTTAGAAGCTTTTCTTTAAAATCACCCATGAAAAGTTCCGAATAAAAAACACCTGTTTCCTAAGGGCTTCAAGTCGCCTCTCTCTCTCTTCCTCCTCATGTGCATCTTGAAGAGCCACTTCTCTCTGCTCCATCAAACGCTTTTCCAGTAATGCTTGTCTATATTGAACCCTTTAAAAACAACACACAGGAAAGCTGGAGAACATCATAGCAACTTCAGAGAACATCCAGATAAGAGAACAGAGTTGCAAAAGGTATCTCAGAGGTGATGTCATACTAATAGTTTAGTTTTATTTGTCTCTCGTGGATTTCTCATATGCAAACAATTCACAGTAACTCTAATAACCAGGGAAGTGCAGGAAAGCATGGGGTTAAATTTGGTTCACCTCATCCCTTGTTGAAACTATTTTATTAACTATTAAACTCTGTTCGCTGCTGCAGCTGCAGCTAATCTACCCTAAGACAAGATAGGCTCACTCCTGAGTTATAGCAGTTTCCTGCTGAGAAGTTTTAACACAATTTGAGATAATAAAAAGGCTGTGTTGCTGATGAAATGTACATATTTTAGGAAGAAGTAAAATAAATTACTATAACAATATGCCTAAATTATTTTGCTTACTAGAATTTAAACTTTTTATATTTGTCACTCACTTTGTCAACAATGCCCTTTTCTGAGTGTGTGCATTAAGAGGTTTACAAAATTGCACTTTGACATCTGTAGGTGGCAGCAAAAACATGACTTTCCCTTAGCATTATATTTCCATTCGCCTTAAAATCATCAGATATTAAAACACAGTAATTTAGTTACTGGTTTAATGCCAGGAGCTTATTTGGCCATCTTTTTTTTTGCCTGTTTTGGGGCAATCTCATTTATCGTCTTCTTTCTCAAGTTATTCTTCTATTGCATTATAGACATAGGATTCATCTTTTCAAAAAAGTAGGCTCCTGCATACTGGGAGGAGCATTAGGCCATGGTCTCTGTCTTCCATCATTGACAGTGTAGTGTGGTATTACTCTGTGTGACATCGGTCACAGATGTCCTTTTCCTTTAGTGTGCACACCTGCCTTTTCCAAAAAGGTAATTTCACCAGCCCTCTTATATTCTAGAGTCAGACATTTACTGAGGGCTCGCTATGCAGCAGGTTTATGCTAAGCACTTTATATGCTTCAGCTTATTGAAACTTCCCAGCCATTATGTGTTGGAGTATCATTTTATCCTTATAAAGAAACAGAGGCACACACAGATCGTGTTACTTTCCAGAATCTCATGTCCAGTGAGTGGTGAATGGCAGAGCCAGAAATCAAACCTAAGTCTGGTCTCAGAGGCCAAGCACATGCCTCTCTCCCTCCTAGGAGCCTTGTGCAGTGACTACTGTGTTTCCCTCTTCTCTGTATCCCTTATCTTTCCTCCCACCCCATAGGCTTCTGAATACCCACTTTGTGCCAAACTCTGTACTAGAGTGTGGGTGCACTGAGAAAAAGACCCTGCCTGTAAGAGGTGTAGAGCATGAAGATAACAAGATGCATCTATGAATTAAACAGACTAATGAATGAATAAAGAATATGGGGGGTTAATACAATTGAATATTACTCTGCCATAAAGAAGGATGAGCTTGGGACATTTATGGGTAAATGGATGTGCCTGGAGTCTATACTCCTAAGCAAAATAAATCAAACATGTATCTAAATACTGCATTGTTTCTTGTGTGACAAACCAAAAGTGGAAATAAGGACTATCTTTTGCACATAGGGAGAGAGGGGAATGGAGGAAAAAAAAAAGAAGCAATACATATCATGTACTGGTACAATTCCCTATGATGAATGTTATCATATTAGTTATTAAAAGGTACCAATAAATGTTTTGCTTAAAATAATTTAAAAAGATATATAACGTCTTGAGAGAGGAACAAATAAGGCCCACTGGAGAAAGGTGAGATGCCCACGTTTTGGGCCATGAGAGGCAATGAGAAGACTTAGCGAGAGCTTCCAGGAAGAGGGAGCATCTGAGCCAGGAGTGGAAGATTAGGATCTGGACAGGCAAAGAGGGTAGAGGAGAAACCATCCTCCAGGCAGAGAGGGCAAGTGCTGGGCTGATGCCTGGGTGTGGGTGCCTCATGTGCCTCCTCCTGGTCACTGAGGCCACAGGAGGAGAAGGGTTCTGTGAACCAAGAACACAGTGAGTGAAGGAAGTATGGCAGACAGAGGCACAGGGAAGTACCAGTGGGCCGAGCCTAACACTCACATGGCGTCCTCAGGAAGGTGCTCTTTAAAAACTGGACACTCATGAGGTAAGTGTTCAAGGAAAGGAATGAAGCATGCAGGAGACCCTCGCAGATTATAAACTTAGCATGGGATAGAAAGAAAATTCTAACCTCTCTGAGCATCACGGCTCTAACCCTAACCCCTCCACCATCATGAGTCGGTACAGTCAGGCCACAGACCAGCATGCTCCTCTCCCCTTGCCTCTGTGTCACAAGAAATTGTATTGCTGATTCTCTTCATTTTCACTAAGGCATGACACCACCTCCCTAATGAGGTTCTACTCAATTTAAGCACTGAGTACACGCTAAGTGAACTACTGCGAAGGTTCAATTAAAAGATACCCTGGGATTTGGCAATTACCATATGCTAATTTTCGGAATCTTTAGAAAGTTTCTCTTCCTGTGGGATATATGGGCTGCTTTGTCTGCAACAAAGTTTTTGTCTACTTTGTGGGAAAGTCTTGGCTGTTCCTGCCAAGGGAGTTTGACTGGAGAGGAAGAAATTGTAAATGAGAACAAGGCCTTTCTACCTGTGTCATGGAGAAGGTGGACTCACAGTGTACTTTGAGGCTCATGCATTCCTTGGACAGGTCCATATTTATTGAGCTTAGCACCTCCCATGAATCAACTGCCGTGCTGAATATTTACATGAGAGATGTGCTCCTGTCCTTGTGGAACAGGCAATCTACCTGGAGTATAAGACCGAGACTAGGACAGTACAAGCAGTTTGTGCTGTGATGGGACAATGGGGAAATCTTTGCCAGTCTTTGGGGGCAGGGAAGTATGAGAGTTGCTGTGAATTGAGTCTGGGAAAAGGAGTGAGGATTCACCAAGGTGTGTGTGTGTGTGTGTGTGTGTGTGCATCAGAAAGTCCAAGACTGCAAAACGTAGTACATGAACCTGCAAAACGTAGTACATGAACACCCAGTGGTAAGAGCATGATGTGTTTGAGGAATTGAAATACTTCAACACAACAAAAATGAATGCTTGGTGAGGGGTGCAAAGAACCCTGGCTGGGATATGCAGGCTTTATCAGCATGATGGCAACACAATGATCAGAGCTAATCTCTCCTCCAATATGGAGGACGCATGGTAAGGAGGCAGGACAGACAGTGAACCCAGATGGAAGCTGATGGTTTCCTAATCTAAGGCAGAAGGAAGGAACTGGTAGGAGAAGATACAGATTTGAACGCTACGGAAGAAATAAACAGAGAATGTTAGTTTATTTTATGGGAGAAGAAAAATGATAGAAGAAGAATTTAAGGTTTCTGTGTTTCTCTCTAACATAGGGAACTTTAAAGAGGAACAAGAATGAGAAGGAACAGTGTTCATTTTGGACCCAGGGCTGACTATGTAACAGCTGGGATGGAGAAATAGATTAGGAATCTTCATTAACACAATGGGGTTGAAGCCACAGAGACAGATGCCATCATTCGGGACAAGTCAGAAAAAAAGTGGGTCTAGGATTGATTCCCAAGGAAACAACACTTAAAAGGACAAAAGATGAGGAAAGTACTTAGGGAAATAAGGAGCATACATAGTCCCAAAAGCAGAAGGAAAATGCGGTCAACAATGTCAAATGCTACAGAAATAATCCAAAATAATTGTTAGGTTAAATAACAGGCATTATTGGTGGTCTTGGCAGAGCAGTCTGTGAAGAGGTGACTGAAGAACTGGGGGGGAAGGAAGGAAGTGAGGTAGTGGAAGCAATGCTTTAGCAAGACTGGGCAGATAGGGGACAGAGGCACAGAGCTGCATAGACTGCCCACAGTTGCAGGGGCTTCACAGTGATGACCAAAGTCATTCTGATAACCTTAAAGAGCTGCATGAGAAGGACATAGAAGACACATGCAAATTCTTCATTTTTACAGATGTTGTGGTGTAACTTCAGACAATACTTTTACTTAACAAGAGCAAACTCTTGGTGCTTCCTTCTTCTCTGAATAGAAACATTTCTTTGCCTAAACAGAAGTGATGCAGAAAAACTCTTGTGAGAAAGCCAAATACTCACATATTCATGAGGAAAGAAAATAGCAACACAGTAAAGTCAATCATTTGGAAAATTTTCCACATAAATACATTTAGCCATTTGACATAGCAGATTTTCTCCAAATTAAACTGTTGCTATGAAAGTCAATGTCAGGAAGTGGCTAAACTCAATAGTTTTTAGGTGGTGCACTGAATTTCAAAACAGGAACCTTGCATTCATTTCTCAGTCTGTTGTATGCTCCCTGAGTCTACAAAGGTTGCAAGAGCTGCAAAAGAGGCATTTTCAACTTCTCTTGGGGAAGGGGAAGCATCAGATTGTTCAAAAGCAACAGCTGCTGTAGAATCAGGCACAACATTAACAATAATCTGAAAAAGATTTTATTTAAACCTCCAGACCTGAGGGTAGTTGAAGGGACAGTACACTTTCATGTAGAAATGGAGAACTTATGTATCACTTAGGAGACATTTTATGTGTGTTCTGCAGTTGAAGATGTGTGTACTCAGATGCAGATGGTTTGAAAACACCTTGTGCTTCATTCAGTGACAACTTCCCTTGGCATCAGTGAAACTTGAGGGAAGACTTTGCAAACTATTAAGCACAAAATCTTGCCCTTGCTCCTGTGTGGAGTCACAGGTAACTTCTGTCTAAAAAGAAATGCTATAGCAACCAAGAGAGATGGGGGAAACTTCTCGAGATCGACCAGTGTTGTCAAGTATTGCAATTAAAAACTTTAAAGTAAATAAATCACAGGATAAAGATGATCTGAATTTGGGGACTCTAACCAGGACTGAACTCCTCATAAAATGTTTCAGGCAGGGATGTGCCCCACTGAATTAAACGCCATTTATAAACCAACTTGCTACTTCATACGGAAATTATGAACTTCAATACTGAGTGAGAAAGCCTTAAACAGGCTATGC